GAGATTGAAGTCAACTTAAATCTCTGTCACGTGTGGGACAGTTTCTGCTGGCATTTCTGGCTCTGTGAGTGCGTCCTGAGTCATTGGCGGTAACCTCTGAGTGAAACTCATGAGATTATACAATGCTTTAGCTGATTGGTGGAAGTGGTGTCCTATCCTTCCAAACCAGCTGTATGTTGACTGTGTGGATGTTGTGGTGCTGGAATCAGGGATTTCCCCATGCACCCTGAAGCTGTATACACAGGTGAATGCATCGTGCCCGTGGTTATCGTGAATCTCTAACCTCACGGACCGGAAAGTCTCACCCTTGTGTTGCTCCAGGATGTCAAATGTTTGGAACGAGTCCCCGTCTGCGTCGTAGAGAAACGTTCCAAGTTTGATCTCTGTTGGTCCAAAGTCCTTCAGTCCGTACACAGAGAAAGACTTTGGGGCCGACTGAATTGTTCCTGTGAGAGACTGCTCCTTCACAATGTGTCCGACAGTCACTTTGGTGATGTGGATCTCCAGGGGTAGAGTGATGGAGAGCTTCCCAGTCTGACCTGTGAACGCCCAGCACTGTCCAGGAATCAAAGGGTAATTATGACCTTTGATCACAGTGTTTGGACCCAGAGGTCTGAGCCAAGGCGGGCCGTTTTTCTGCTTGTGAGTCTTGGAAGTCTCAGCAGTCATCACCCGAGCCCCGTGATGCCTCAAAGCAAAGTTGGCTAAAGGAGCTCTCACCATTGCCTTGTGTTGCTGAAGCTGCTCACGCAGATGATCGACCTCCTCCTTCAGCTGGTGCAGATGTTTTACCTGGTGTTGCAGCTGCTGCACCTCACCATCAGTAGCCATCGCCATTGCCAACCAGGACACAACAAGGCCAGCCAAGAGAAGCCAGATTATGACCCGGGCCAAGCTGAACCAGGACCTAGGCTGAACTGCAGGCCCAGACACATAGATGACATTTGCGGCCTTCCTCGCCTCCAGTGGGAAGCTGTGGCGCCGCATATTTGTGGAGATGTTTAACCTCCTGCGACCAGTGTCTGAGTAGCAGATGCAGGGGTTTTCATCCTCATCGTAGTACCCCATTTCCTCCAGTCGAGGACTCCTGCGAGCCATGTTTTTAAAGGCCCTGTATTTACTCCAATAGTTTGGTTTAGACGGACTTTACCAAGTCCCGTTAGGAATGACCCCTCTGAAGTAAACTTTTGACTCTCCTGAGCCTGACTTCACCGATGGACGGCCCTTCAAGAACTCACAAACACTCACAAGCTCTGCCTGGCCCAGGTGACATGATCGATGCCATAGCAACCTTTGCAACACTATTTAAGTTTTAGCAGCCATTTTGAGTGTGTGACTTTTATTAAATGTTTCTTTATCTGATAAATTGATTTAGTACATTCCATTTATTCATATTTACCTGAAGTTTACTTACAAACATTCAAAAAGTTAAGAATGTTCTTGTTTTTAATTAACCACGTGATTTGTCGTTCTGGCATCAACAGACGCCATGATGAAAGTTCTGATCAATAATTAAAAATATAGGGCTTAAATTTTACTTTTATCAGTATTTGAGGCAAAAATACCCTTTTTTGATTGGTTTTATTGACGTCACATCATGTTGTAGCTTCAGCTCGGCTGGAACCACAGTCGAGGTGGTACGAAAAAAGTGCCCTTATCTCAAGCCAAACCCCAGTGGAAATGCAAAATAACCATGCCGTGCCGTACCGTACCTTTACTGTGGAAAAGTGGCATAATGCCGCTTTTCCACAGTATCAGTACGGTACAGTACAGTACGCTTCAGCACGGTTATTTTGCGTTTCCACTAGTGGATGGTATGGGAAATTTGAGTACTTTTCCGTACTGCCTCAGCCGTGGTTCCATCCCCATAGTACCCGTGCCATGACGTCACGTCGGCCCACTGCCTCACACTGATTGGTCAACGAGTGTCGTCACTGGAAGCGACCTCTGACCCTTTGGGAAAAACAACTCAACCGCCATCTTTAAAACCGGCTGCTCTGCTCGGCTCTGTTTCGGCTACATTACGTCCTCCTCACTCCAGAGAAATGGAATTGCACAGAAAGCCCCAAAAGTCCTGGTCCTGGTCGGTGGACGAGGTCCACACGTTCCTCTCTTCAGGCCAAAGAAAGAATTCAAAGGCAGCTCGAGGCTCAACACAGTTTTCAGGAGATCACCCAGCTCTGGATTTGTGACTAGTCTGTGGTAATCCTGAAATAACTGGTTATCTACAAATCCCGTTAAAGCTCTCACTGAAATGTATTTACTGTGTACATGTTTGATGTCTGTTGTACGCAGTGAGCTAGCTACATTTAGCTTCATTTAGCTATCGATAGCAGCTAAGCTAACGTCCTCCCTGTGCTACTGTGCTTTATCTCGTATTATCTGCAGTATTCATGTGTTGTCATTCTGTTTTGTGCTTGTATTTAAGTTGTCGTGTGTATATTTGTTTGAGAATCCCTTTCCATAAGTGTGGAGATTACCAACGAGTAATGAGTGACCGGAATATTCTCCTAATCTGGACCTGGTCTGGACCTGGTCTGGACCTGGTCTGGACCTGGTCTGGACCTGGTCTGGACCTGGTCTGGACCTGGTCTGGACCTGGTCTCACACATACGTACTTTTGACTTTGTAAACTGTTGGTTTTGCACTTTACTTTTTTTTTTCAATAAATCTGTGATTGTATCAAGACTGTGTTTCATTCATTTATTATTATTGTATCTGAGGTTTGGGTATCGATTGTCTGGTCTCGGAGTCTGCTGTAGTCCGGACCCGAGTCCGGACTAGCCTAACTTAGCGTAGCCTGGCCGCTAACTCGCTACTCCTATGGCTGCCGCTGTCTCTCCCTCGGTCCTTTACTGCTCGAGTTGCCATATGAAGAGTTTAAACCCTGGATCCTCCTCTGAGGGCAGTGATGGATGTGTAAGTGTAGTATTGTAGTAGCTTTGGAATCCAGGGTTAGTGAGTGAGCTGAGTCTCGAGCTAGCGCTAGCATTAGCTATAGCCTAGCAGTATCCTCGGACATGCAGCCCTCCTCCTCTGCTACACAGGCTGCTGTTGCTACAGGTCCATTCAGATTGTACAGAGCAATCAGCACCATTGACTTCACAGTTTCCGAGTCATTCTTTTAAGACAAAAGCATTTTCAAAAACTACTCGTGCTGTGCTGAGTTTTCTATTAAACACTTGCTCTGATGTTATAATAAATCCATGCACCGCACCAGTTCTAGTTACGCGTCCAGTGTTGGGCACGTTACTTTGAAAAAGTAATTAGTTATAGTTACTAGTTACTTCTCCCAAAAAGTAACTGAGTTACTAACAGAGTTACTCCACTATAAAAGTAACTAGTTACCAGTAAAAGTAACTATTGCGTTACTTTTTCGTTTTGTTCTGGAACATAATGTGCACCCGACGTGCGCATTTTTACCTTTAATAGTGCCAATATTTCCATCTAGAAAAGGCTGTTTTGCTGCTGAAGTCCTGTTCACTCTTCATCTCTGTGCTGTAAGCACTAAACACCAACACCCGCCACTGTGAATGTGGAAACACCGGTGAAGCACTGACTTCAGTCCAATCAGATGAACATATACATCATATAAATCAAGTGGACAATTTGTTTGGCTACAGCAAAATATGTTTCATGGCCGCATTGTTTGTTCATACAAAACGCAAAACTATGAGTTATGGGTCTTACCTTATGCTATACCTTATACATGACCTGCACAGTCCACTTCGGTTCAGACCAGTTCCTTGTTTAAATCCAGTGAATGGTTTGAGCGTAGATATGTAATCCTCCATTTGGAAATGAGTCCAATGAGTTTTAAAAAGTAAAACAAAACGTGTGTGTCCTCCGTAAACTCCTCTGTTTTGCTGCAGCCGGCTGCATCCAATTTCTAAAATCAACCGTCTTACACTTCACCTCTCTTTCTTATCATTCCTATAGTAATTGAAAAATTACCCTATGTGCATTTTAGATTATGTAAAAATGTGTTATATGTATGTTAGCCAAACCTGTTGCTGTCCTTAGCAGATAAACCAGGAAGAGCAAGGAGCTTATCGATGGAATTGTATGCAGCCGACTTCTGCGCTCACATGCGCTCCTCTGTGGCTGACCTCACGGTGATACAAGCTGTGGTTGAGCGCGATTAAGACCCATATTTGTTTCAAAAACACAATTTATGAGCCATCCTCTCAACTGTAGACATGTAGATTGTAAAGGAAATATGTTTTACATCAGCCAATAATTGCTGAGAGGTTTTCTCATCCTCCCTTCTCTCATGACAACACGTTCATTGTGCGTCTTGAGTAACGCGCAGTAACGGGATGTCGGAAATGATAACGGCGTTATAGTTACTGTCAAAGTAATTAGTTAGATTACTCGTTACTGAAAAAAGTAACGGCGTTAGTAACGCCGTTACTAGTAACGCCGTTATTCCCATCACTGTACGCGTCACACGTAAATGACGTGGTCTGACAACGCTGAGGACATACTGGGGGTACTATTTTTGATGGAAAAGCACGAGAACTGGGCCATGGCGCGCCGTGTAGAGTCAAAACGTACCGTACTAGGACTGTGGAAAAGCGGCATAATTGTACCTGTGTCTCTGTGTCTAAATGTACCTGTGTCTATTAAATGTACCCGTGTCTCAAATGTTTATTTATCTGTGTTTCTGTACAAAAATATATATAAAAAAAGGGTCGAAAATTGCTCAAAGTTTATGTAACCCACATTTAAATATGGCTTTATTAAAACATAAATATTGTAGCGTACCAAACGGGAGAAGGATGAGAGACACAGAAAGAGGCAAATTGTAGTTGGAGACTCCCAAAAAGTGAGGTCCCCATTTATTTATAGAGGACCAAAACCCGCGAAACATAGGTCACAAGGTAACACACATGCGCACAAGCATAATACTAAAAAGTCGTTTACATACTTCCCCCCTTTAACAAGACATGTCCTCATGTCTAACTGAAAAAAAAAATGCACCACACACACATAAAAATTTACAAAACAGCATCAAAGTCCCAGCGTCCTCCAAGAACCAAACACTGGCGATCCTGCAGCAGCCTGGACAGCAGGTAGACGACTGGCGCAGAACCGGAGCACGAATTCCCCTGACCGGAGCAAAGGAAATCAACTGAACGTCCAGAACACGGGACCGTAGGACGCGCTGGGAACATCAGAATTACAGGCTCTTGAACACACACGTCAGCAGGCACCCCAACAGGCATAACCACATTCCTGTGGCTCCCGAGGGACGGCGCTGGATTCGGGCACCAATGCGCACATGTCACGGTCTGATCCTGGACATCAGCGGCCCTGAGCCACATGCTCAGTCCGGTACTGGAACGTCTCCCCCGGCGGCAGCACTCCGTCACACCAGTCCTTTACAGTCACCCCAGCCGAGAAGAGCCCAGGCCACACCATCACTCCAGTCCCACATCAACACAAAAATATGACGAGACCATAATGGCGACTGGCACCGTCAGGTCAGACTCACCCACCAAAAAAGTACAAAAAGCAAGGCACAAATGTTCATCACCGCCACCACCACCTACATCAACTCAGGTGGCGACGGCTGCACCGCTGCCACCAATGTAGCGTACCAAATGGGAGAAGGATGAGAGACACAGAAAGAGGCAAATTGTAGTTGGAGAATCCCAAAAAGTGAGGTCCCCATTTATTTATAGAGGACCAAAACCCGCGAAACATAGGTCACAAGGTAACACACATGCGCACAAGCATAATACTAAAAAGTCGTTTACAATATCAATCATAATTACCACTAAATTATTCATTTTTTGCAGTTACACGTTTATTTTATAAACAAACCTAACTCTTGGCATATTAAGGGTTAAATCCTCTGAGAAATGCACCTTTGCTCTTGGCCAATGAGATGCTGCAAAACGGCACCAATTCTCTTAGCCAATGAGGTGCTCCGAAACAGCGCATTGTCCCGCCCCCTTCACCTCCGTCGTCAAGGAGGCAAGGCAAGGCAAGGCAAGGCAAGTTTATTTGTATAGCACAATTCATACACAAGGCAACTCAAAGTGCTGAACAAGATAGCATTAAAATCATAAATAATTACAGAACATTAAAACGAAAGATAAAAATATAAAATCCCTCAGTTGTAGCACAGTTAAACAGCACCGTTTTTAACCTGGTTTTAAACATTGTCAGAGAGGAGGCCTGTCTCACATCTTCAGGAAGATTGTTCCAGATTTTAGCAGCATGAATCTGAAAAGCAGCCTCCCCATGTTTAGTTCTGACTCTGGGCACTAACAGGAGTCCAGTCCCTGTGCTCCTCAGAGTCCCAGCAGGAGTCCAGTCCCTGTGCTCCTCAGAGTCCGGGCTGGTTCATATGGGACTAACATGTCACTAATATATTTTGGTGCGAGGCCATGGAGAGATTTGTACACAAGCAGAGCTGTTTTAAAGTCTATTCTCTGAGCCACAGGAAGCCAGTGCAGAGACCTGAGGACCGGACTAATATGGTCGTACTTCCTGGTTCTAGTCAGGACTGGAGCTGCTGCATTTTGAATGTACTGCAGCTGTTTTACAGCCTGTTTGGACAGACCTGTGAGCAGGCCATTGCAGTAGTCTAACCTACTGGAGACAAATGCATGGATAAGAATCTCCAAGTCTGCTTTAGACACTATGTTTTTGATCCTGGCAATGTTTTTTAGATGGTAAAAAGCTGCTGATGTTACTGATTTGATGTGGCTATTAAAATTTAAGTCTGAGTCCAGTATTACCCCTAGATTTCTGACCTTGTTTGAAGGTTTTAGGGAGAGAGACTGTAGGTGACAGATGACGCTCTCTCTTTGTTTCTGGGGACCAAAGACAATCATTTCAGTTTTGTCTGCGTTTAGCTGAAGGAAGTTGTTTTGCATCCACTCACTGATCTGTTGGATACAGTGAAGGAGTGAGTCCACTGGTCCATGTTCTCCTGCAGTCAGTGAGACATAGATCTGAGTGTCGTCTGCATAGTTATGATAGGAAACTTTGTTTCTGCGTATTAACTGACCTAACGGCAGCATGTAGAGATTGAACAGAAGAGGTCCCAGGATCGACCCCTGTGGTACTCCACAGGTCAGGGCCATATGATCTGAGACACAGTTTCCAATCTCCACAAAGTACTTCCTGTCTTCAAGGTAAGACCTAAACCAACTTAGGGCGGTGCCAGCGACGCCAACCCAGTCCTCTAGTCTCTGTAAGAGGATCTCATGGTCGACAGTGTCAAAGGCAGCACTTAGATCTAACAGGATTAGGATTGAGACTTTGCCTGCGTCAGTGTTCAGCCGGATATCGTTTGTAACCTTAACGAGAGCAGTCTCAGTGCTGTGGTGGGGTCTAAAGCCGGACTGAAACATATCAAATGAGTTGTTGATTATAAGAAATCTAGTAAGCTGTAGGTAGACAACTTTCTCAAGGACTTTCCCCATAAATGGCAGATTTGAGATGGGACGATAGTTGTTAAGTACCGTAGCATCCAGACTGCTCTTTTTTAGCAGGGGCCTGATGACTGCAGTTTTCAGGGCCTTTGGGAATATTCCAGAATCAAGGGACATGTTTACTATCTGTGTGAGTGAAGGCAGTGTTGCCAACTTAGCGACTTTGTCGCTAGATTTAGCGACTTTTCAGACCCCTATAGCGACTTTTTTTCAAAAAAGCGACTAGCGACAAATCTAGCGACTTTTTCTGGTGTTATTGGCGACTTATCTGGTGTTTTGGCGACTTATCTGGTGTTTTGGAGACTCGTGAAGCATGTATTGTTCTGCTGTCCTCAACGTGAGCCCCTCCCCCGTCCCAAAGCACTACAGGCGGCCAGTCTGTCTCACAGTAGCCTTGCGCAGCAGTCCCAGCTACAGTCTATGGGCGGAGCAGAGAGAGAGAGAGGAGACTCAAAAGCACAGGGAGTTTTCAGGCTGCTGCAGACTGAACTTCAGCTCCACCACCACCACACATCCAAAGCTCCCCGGCCACTCCTACCACCGCCACCCCCCACTACCCCCCACTCCATCCGCGGCAGCTCTGTCCGTGACTCTGTTTTCTCTCAGTAGTGGGTCACATTAAATCATTTGTTATGCCAAACTATGAAAAAAAAAAAAAACTTACAAAAATAGACCTAAGTAACTCTGCCAGAGTGTGTCTTTTGGGTCACTTTGCCGGTCCCAAGCCCGGATAAAGGAGGAGGGTTGGTTGTAGAGCTAGCAATTTCACCCTACATAACAATCTTTTGATTACATTTGCTGTTATAACATTTAACAATACAGGACAAAACTGATGTGTGTAATGTGGATCTAGACAAAGCATTAAAATCATTAAATGTTGTTAATGTTGAAATTATTTTTGTACATTTGTAGTTCTAAACATATTTAGGGTGTTTTTACTCACTTTTGTCTCTCCCACGACCTTATTCCTCTCTCCTACAGCGTCCGTTACAGTTATTTGCAAATGGCAAATTATGCAAATAAGGCGATGACGTCATTTAGCGACTTCTAGCGACTTTTGGGACAGCCAATAGCTACTTTCCTTACTGAGGAGTTGGCAACACTGAGTGAAGGTAACAGACTGCTCAGAACAGACTTTAGAAATCTAGTGGGTAGTACATCCAGGCTGCATGTGGAGGAGCTCAAACTGGAGATTATCTCTTGGACAGTTTGATCATTTACAGGTGCAAAGTAAGTTAGCTCAAAGAGCCTTTCTGGCTGTTGGATTGTTATCTGTGGATTGGAGACAATGGCGTTTTTGATGCCTTGAACCTTGTCATGAAAAAATGTGCAAACTCATTACATTTACGTTTGGAAGTTAGCTCTAATGGCATTTGAACAGGGGGGTTTGTTAATCTATTAACTGTTGAAAACAGAACACGCAGATTGTTGCTGCAGCCTTCAATCATTTCAGAAAAATACCTTTCTCTCGTACTACGTAGCACCTGGTTAAACTCGCACAACTTATCTTTGAAGATCTTGTAATCAACCTGGAGGTTGGACTTGCGCCACTTCCGCTCGGCCCTCCGGCACTCTCTCTTTTGTGCTCTGACCGAGTCTGCTTTAGCCCACGGCGCCTTCTGCTTATTTTTCACTATTTTAACCTTCACAGGAGCGATGGTGTCCAGAACTTTCAAAACACTAGAGGTGACAGAGTTAAACAGTTCATCTACAGTAGAATACGATGCATTCTCAAAGTTTATCATTCCCATAAATAGTTCACCCGTATTTTCATTTATGTGTCTTCTTCGTACAGTTGCAGAGTCCACTGGTGGTTTGTTAGTGAAACACATGTCAAAAAATATACAAAAATGATCCGAAAGCGCAACATCGACCACGTTTACATTATAAATGTTCGCCCCCTTTGTAACTAACAGGTCTAGAGTGTGCCCTTTGCTGTGGGTGGGGCCACTCACATGCTGAGTGAGACCAAAAGATTCAAGAAGAGAACTCAGCTCTTTAGCATTTCTGTCATCAACATTATCCACATGAATATTAAAATCACCTGTAATAACTAAACTATCAAAATCTGTGCATACAACTGAAAGCAACTCTGTAAAATTATCAATAAAACTGTGACATGACTGCGGTGGCTTGTATAGGACAACGAAAAGTATTGGAGGAGATTGTTTTTGTTGTATTTTAAAAGACACATATTCAAAAGACGGAAACTTCCCAAGAGACATTCTATGGGAGACAAAGTGGTCTCTGAAAATGGCAGCTAAGCCTCCTCCTTTTTTGTTTTCCCGTATTTCAGATTCAAATTTGAAATTTGGTGGTGATGCTTCTATTAAAACTGCATTTTCTGTATTTTGGTAAGTAAGTAAGCTAGTAAGTAAGCTTTTATTTATATACCGCCTTTTCACTGCACATCGGAGTCTCAAAGCGGTTTACAATTGTTGGGTGGGGGTGCCAGTACAGGAGGCACATGCCATACCTATTGTACATATTTTTAGTGGTAGGGGAAACCGGAGCACCCGGAGGAAACCTACGCAGACACGGGGAGAACATGCAAACTCCACTCAGAAAGGCCCTAGTCCAACCGGGATTCGAACCCAGGACCTTCTTGCTGAGAGGCGAGAGTGCTATCCACTCAGCCACCGTGCCGTCAAGCCATGTTTCAGCCATGAACATAAGATCTAGATTATAAGAACAAATAAAATTATTGATTAAAAAAGACTTGTTACAAAGAGATCTGACATTTAGCATAGCAAGTTTCAAAGTTTCAGGATCAGCGGTTGTGGTCGGCTGATTCTTACACGGAACAAGAATTAGATTTTCCTGATTAGACTGATTAACTCCAGATGTTTTTCTGTTATGTATTCTTTGTGTTATCA